GTGTATAATCTTAAGTGTACAGCACAGTTTTTTTTGTTTTTTTGTTTTTTTTTTTAAAAGATTTTATTTTTTCCTTTTTCTCCCCAAAGCCCCCCGGTACATAGTTGTATATTCTTCATTGTGGGTCCTTCTAGTTGTGGCATGTGGGACGCTGCCTCAGCGTGGTTTGATGAGCAGTGCCATGTCTGCGCCCAGGATTTGAACTAACGAAACACTGGGCCGCCTGCAGCGGAGCGTGTGAACTTAACCACTCGGCCACAGGGCCAGCCCCCTACAGCACAGTTTTTTAAACCGAGGTAAAATACACATAAAATTTACCACTTTATTTTTTAATTTTTAATTTTTAATTTTTAAAATATTTTATTTTTCCTTTTTCTCCGCAAAGTCCCCCCAGTACATAGTTGTATATTCTTCGTTGTGGATCCCTCTAGTTGTGGCATGTGGGACACTGCCTTAGCGTGGTTTGATGAGCAGTGCCATGTCTGCGCCCAGGATGAAACACTGGGCCGCCTGCAGCGGAACGCGCGAACTTAACCACTCAGCCACAGGGCCAGCCCCAAAATTTACCACTTTAAAGTGTACAATTCAGTCGCATTTAGCACATCCACAATGTTGTGCAACCATCACCTCTATCTAACTTCCAAAACATTTTCAACACCCCAGAAGAGATCCTGTACCCGTTAAGCAAGTACTTCCTTTTCTCCCTCCCCCCAGCCCCTGGAAACACCAATCTGCTTTCATTTCTGTGAGTTTGTCTATTCTGGACGTTTCCTGTAAATGGAATCACACAACATGCGGCCTTTTGTGACTGGCTTCTTTCACTTAGCATAATGTTTTCAAAGTTCATCCATGTTGTAACGTGTATCAGTGCTCCATTCCTTTTTACGGATGAATAATATTCCATTACATGGATACACCACATTTTGTTCATCCATTCATCAGCTGATGGACATTTGGGTTGTGTCTATCTTTGGGGTCTTGTGAATAGTGCTATTTTACGTGGACATGTTTTAATTTTATTAGGTTCATACCTAGGAGCGGAATTGCTGTGCCCCATAGTAACTCCGTTTAGCTTCTTGAGGAACTGCCACAATTTTCCGTTCACACCAGCAGTGAATGAGTGTTTCAGTTTCTCCGCATCCTTGCCAACATTTGTCACGAACCATCTTTTTGATTATAGCCATCCTAGTGGGTGTGAAGTGGAGTCTCACTGAGGTTGTCCCTGTCTATGGCTTGTCTGTGTCTGAACTAGACTGTGACCTCAGTGTGGGCCTGAGCTGAATTTGTCTCACTCACCACCATTTTACCGCGTCTAGCTAAGTACCTCACACAAAGTAAATGATAACAACATATTTGGTGAATAAAAGAATTGATAGACACTGCTAGTTTTGTGCAATCCTCCTAACATTTCCTCTCGTATACATTTTGCCAGGGCTCACCAGAAACAGCTTTAAACATAAAGCAGTTGATAAAAGGAATGAATTTTTGTGTTAAAGTCCCCAAATCTAGTTTTTATTTCATAAATTCCTCATATAGTGATATTAACATTGGTTTTGGAAGAATTCTAAAATTTGTTTTGCTGATTGAAGATTTATTGATAATCTTGTTGTCATAGATATTGACTAAGTTAAACAGCTTTCTCGAATGCCCATTTCAAGGGTTACACCTATCCAGGTGTTGGGTAGTCAGGCCAGAAACATATCATAAATATATTAGTCTATTTTTAACACACTGTCTAAACAAATTAAGCTCATCTTTTCTCTGGGATAATACTTTTTTTCTCTGAAACTTTTCCCTCTTCTTAAAGATGCTCACTCTTTTATTCATTAATTCATACAAACTAAGATCCTGAAGAAGAATTTCCTTCTTTTCTCTCCCACACACACAATGAATAAAATACCTGTTCAAAAACTTAAAATGAACAAGATATTAGAGAAGTTCTCTGGCAACTTAATTGTTTTTGTGGTTCATGGCCATTAAGAGCCTGAATATAAAGAATGAAAGAATCATACAGTTTCTAAGACTGAATAATAACGCTCAGAAGTTCCAGAAGCTTATGGGAAAGATGACCTCTAGTGCTTTGGCTGGGAAGCATGAAGCCACTTTTAATTTTCCAGTAAATCTGGCTTGACAAGAACTGGCTATCATTCCCTCAAGCTTTAAGTCAAGTGAAGCTTTAGATCAAGGATATATTATATCCTGAACTCTAGTAGAAATAGATTGTTTCTAAAAACTAAATAAGAAATGCTGTGGGTACGTTTCCAATTTATTCTGATCAATCTCTGAGACTCCAAAGTTAAGTTCTGACTTTGATTTCTAATATTAGGAAGTTTTATTCACAGCTGGCCTCAATATGAAGTGAGAGATGTATGTGGGGGAAAGAATTAAAAAGGAAGGAAGATACTAAATCTGAAATTATTAAATTTAGCTCATGCTATGGACTAAATTTTGTCTCTCCTCCAAATTCACATGTTGAAGCCTAACCTCCAACATGATAGTATTTGGAGAAGGGCCCCTGGGAGGTAGTTAGGGTTAAATGAGGTCTTGAGAGTGGGGGCTTCATGATGGAATAAGTGTCCTTATAAGAAGAGACATCAGAGAGTTCGCTCTCTCTTTCTGCCGCATGAGGACATAGTGAGAAGGTGGCCATCTACAAGCCAAGAAGAGAGCTCTCACCAGAAACTGAATGGACCTGCACCTTGATCTCGGACTTCCCAGCCTCCAGGACTGTGAGAAAATAAATTCCTGTTGTTTAAGCCACTCATCCATGGTATTTTGTTATGGCAGCCTGAACAAACCAAGACAGCCCATACATCTATTTATATAATTGTTTGGTGAGATTAAAAACACAAAAATCAGTAAAATCTATTCCTCTTGCACCAAATCTTCCCTTTGTATAAACAAACTGAGGTTTAAGAATGGACTGCACAGGGGACGAGAAGGGACTGCCTTTAGTAGATTGCACTTTTGGCCTCGAGTCTTCACCTCTCCCTGTGTCCACACTTGTTGCCATGCGACTCTGCAGTTCCTCTTGCTAAAGAGGCAGAGTCTATTTCCTGACTCTTGGATCTGGGCTGGTCTTATGCTTTAGCTAACGGAATGTGACAGAAGTACTGATGTGTGCCACCATTGAGCTTAGGACTCTAGGACCTATTTGTTTCCACTTTCTCTCTTGCACCTCTGGCTTCACTGCAAGAACATTCTCTGGGGCAGCCTGCTAGAGGAGGAGAGATACATAGATAGAGCCACTCCAGTTGTCCCCAGTCACATCTGTTTTAGATCATCCAGTCAGCCAGCACTCAGATGATCTGTGATGGAACCTCAACAAGATTAGCAGAGCTCCCCAGCCTTTCACCTCAGATGTGTGAGCAAACACACTTCTTGATCTAGTTCTGATGTTCTGTATTTATGAAACAGTGTTGTTGTTGCAGTGGAGAACTATACATTGCCATTATTAGGCACTAGATGTTCATCAAACATTACAGATCCAGAAACTCTTGCAAACTGAAATGTATGCAATTTTTACAAACCAAGGAATTAACATCCTGCAAAGAAGGAAAAGCAATGAGCAAATGTAGTTTCTGCTTCTATTACTGATATTGGCCACTTCTACTGGAAACTGCCATTAAGTATTGAGAGTGAGTCAGTGTATCCATAAAGAAATGAAAATGGTGAGTGTAAGATGTACTCATATACTTGTGAAAATTACGTAATGTATATTATCTTTCGCTTACTAGCACTAAGAGATATATGAAGTGGGTTCAAGCAAACAAATGATGAGAGTTGACAATAGAAATGTAAACTCGATCCCAATTAATTAATTTGTTCATTGATCCTTCCAGCTACAGACAGTGATGTCTACTTGGGATGAAATAGAAGGTCCAGAGACAATGAGAGTTTCTTTCCCCAGGGAGCGAGGTCACTTTAGTTCATGAGCTTTGAGAAGCTGGAATGTTACCTTGAGTCTGGAAATACTTAGTGATGCTTGTCAGGCTAGAGATCAAGTTTCCCCAGCAGCTCAGTTAACTACCCAGAACTTTTCGTATTGATTGGGCCCCGAGACTCTGCATGACTCTCTCAAAGTCAGCGCTCATTTTACTCAATAGGAGATATTTTCTTCTCTCTCAGCTGGATTTTCTCAAATTATCAAAAGAGAGTGTTTATGCACGCACACTGGAGAACTGGTTCACACATTACATTTTCCTTTTTCAGAGCAATCAGCGCTATTATCTATTTCCTCTAACATGATGTCTTAGAATTGGACAAAAACCAGTTAGGTTTTTCATTTTCACAAGTTTTGCATCTGATTAGCAGGTAAAGCATGCATTCTGTGACACTCCTGTGACACTTTCCCATCTGTGGTGGGAGCTGCAGATGATGTGCCAGCACTTAGCTGCTGGTGAGCTACTGTCTAATGAGCAATGCGGAAAATTGGTTGTACTTGGCACAATTCTACTTAGGTTGTACAGTGTTCAGAGATACATAAAATCATGAATGCCATCATCCATTACTCAGAATAACTTAAACATCTTTGATAATTATTCAGTTTTTTTAATAATCATGACATTGCTAATCATGATTCATAATGAAATAGCAAGCTGGGTTCCTGATCCTTGTTAAAACGTAGAGGCTACCCTCATGCATTGCTGATGGGAATGTAAAATGGTGCAGCCACTGTGGAAAAGAGACTGGCAGTTCCTCAAAAAGTTAAATATAGAGTCAATATGACCCAGAAATTCCACTCCTAGGTATATACCCAACAGAACTGAAAACATATGTTCACACAAAAATGTGTATACGAATGTTCACAGAAGCATGATTCACAACAGCCAAAAGGTGGAGACAACCCAATGTCCACTGACAGACGAACAGATAAACAAAATGTAGTCTACGCATACAGTGGAATATTATTAACCCATGAAAAGGAATGAAGTACTGATACATACTACAACATGGATGAACGCTGGAAACATCACACAAAATGAACACAGAAGACCACACATTGTATGAATCATTTATACGAACTATCCAGAAGATGTAAACCTACAGAGACAGAAAATAGATTAGTAGTTACCACAGGGTGGTGGGATCGGGAATAGGGAGTGACTGCTAATGGGTGTGGGGTTTCTTTTTGGGGTGATGAAAATGTTCTGGAATTAGATAGTGGTGATGCTTGCAGCCTTCCTTTCCAAGCGCCTGAGTCAATTGGCGGGGTTGAACTAATAGGAGCCTCTGGAGGGAGGTTGGAGGGTGAGAGAAACAGAGAAGCCACGGTACTTCTTGCCCTCTCTCTCAGGCAACATCCTCCTGCAGTGGCTGTGTCATTCCTGCAGCTCCACTTCCCACCCAGTGACTTCAGCTTCTGGGCTCTGGTCACCACCTCTTTTCTTTGTCCCTTCTGTCCTGGGAGTGGTAGCATCTTCTTGTTGCTAATCTCTGTCCCACTTGGCTTCTCAGGTCTTCTATCACCTGTAGAGCCAATTCTCTGTATTAATTTCCCTCTTTTTGAAACATCTAGAGCGGCATCTATTTCCTGCCTGGATCCTTCTAAGGGCTACATCAGCTTACATGCCTTCCAGTAGTATGTCACCTGCCAGTTTCCTCCAAACCTTACTAATACCGCATAATATCATTCTAGGATGAATGGGGAGTTATTGCTAACGTACATGGGTTTTCTTTTTGAGGTGACGAAAAAGTTCTCGTAGTAGATAGTAGTGAAGGTTGCACATCATTGTGAATGTACTTAATGCCACTGAATTGTACACTTTAAATGGTTAAAATGATAAATTTTATGTTTTTTACCAGAATAAAAATTTTTAAAAATAAAAGTAAAAATAACAAGTCATAAAATTGTAGCACAGTAGAGGACTTAATGGGTCGTCCAGTTTAAACTTTTCATTGCTACTGTGCCTGATCCAAGTTCAAGGGAAGCCTTAGTGGCTGCCTAAACCACAGAGCTGATTAGGCAGATCACTATTAATAATAATTCAGGCTATGAGAAGTAAGTGTCTTGGGAAAGGTACAGATGAATGGAAGGGAAGTTGTGAAAAATCGGATTGAAAATATTGTCTAGGAATTGATTTTGGAGGGCTATGAATGCCAGACTATGGATTTTGTAGTTTATTAGGTAGGAAACAGAGACTCACCACAGGGAGGTGATACTATCTTCTTTTCCACGTTGGGATACGTGGCCACTTGCAACCTGATCTGGTTATCTGCAAACGGCATTTGTGAAATCCTGAGAAAAAAATGTTTATTATTTAAAGAACTTACTGAAACTCCCAAACCTCGAGGTTAAAACTTAACATAATGGGCTAAAAACTTTAAAGGTGTAAATTTAGTTTCGTTGCTTCTAAATACAATCATTTTAAAATTCAATTTTAATTGCTTTCAAATTAAATGAACAAACGGACAGCCCCCGGGACCCTTCAGCCCTGGCCCCCAAGCGTCGACTCCTTTTCAACCCATGCCAGTCCACGTCGCCCGGGAACCTGCTCTCCTTCCGCAACAGTTTCTGTGGGGACGCAGTCTTTAGGTGCACCGCCTTTGCCCCACCCTCCACAGTGCCCCTGGACATTCTAATTGGCTGTAGCCCTCCCAGGTGCTCAGCTCTGGTTCTCTGATTGGCCCACGGCGTGCCGCGAGCGCGAAGAGCCCGGTTTCCTGGGATACGGCGCTGGCGAGTGGAGGCGTAGGGGCGGCGGTTGTGTGCCCTGACCAGGAACCCGGTGGGCGGCTGGGGGCCGGCTCGGGGGCTTCGTCGGGCGCGCCATGGCCAGCGTGCACGAGAGCCTCTACTTCAATCCCATGATGACCAATGGCGTGGTGCACGCCAACGTGTTCGGCATCAAGGACTGGGTGACGCCGTATAAGATCGCGGTGCTCGTGCTGCTCAACGAGATGGGCCGCACGGGCGAGGGCGCCGTCAGCCTCATGGAGCGGCGGAGGCTCAACCAGCTGCTCCTGCCGCTGCTGCAGGTGAGGGGCCCCCGCCAGCGCCCGCTCCTCCAGCGAACCCCGCCCGAGCACCTGCGCTGTGCCGGACGGCTCCCTGGGCCTGGGGGCAGGCGGTTCATCAGATAGTCTCCGCTGCAGGACCGCGAAAAAATAAAGATTCTGAATATCACCAGCGGACGCTCAATGAGTGCTTAAGGCGGGCCAGGCGCTTCACGTGCGTTTTTGTTTGCAAGTTCATATCTGGCCCCAGCCTGCGACTGGGGGAAGTGTTATTTTCTCAGATCCTCCGTCTCCTGTAGAGTGGGGCTACACGTACTCTTGAGCGTGGGAGACACAGATGGATCATAGAGGCCCCGTACCCTGGAGGACTGTAATAAATACTAGTAATGACATAAAAGTAACAGCGAACATTGAACCCCTACTGTGTGCTAAGCACTTTACGTGTTTTATTTCATTTTGCAGACTGAGGTTGTAGCTCTGCCACTTACCAGCTGTATGGGGCTTACAAGCCCCGTAACTTATTTAGGTCTCTGTTTTCTCTCTAAAATGGGAACAATAATAGAAACTGGCATGAAATGGCTGTATTAAATTAGAAGATCCATGGAAGCACTTAACAGTATGTGGCACATAGTAAATTCTCAATCAGTGTCAGCAGTTTTCATTTTAATGTGTTCTCGTAGGGCATGTACCTCCCCTTATATCAGTTGTGGTTTGTCCACTTATTTGCGTGATTATATGGCTGATGTCTCTCTCCCCTACTAGACTAACCTCCATGAGGGCAGTACTTTGTCCTATTTTTGTTCACCCTTGTATTCCTCAAAGCCTAGTACAGTGCCTGTACTGTACATTCATATGTGGAATGAGTGAAATGTGACATGCCCTCCTTCTGGTGGATGGATGTACTCAGGTGAATGGGGAGGACTTCTTAGGGGAAGAGTAGTGTTAATCTGGGGCTTGAAAGATGAGCAAGTGTCTATTGAGGAACAGTGGGGGCAGAAACAAAGGTCAGGGGTCTTGGGCCCCCAAATTATGGGATATGAAGAGGTAAACCTAATAAAATTGTACCCAGTGTTGCACATCTGCAACTCAGTATAGTTTATAAAGGGCTTTTTAAAAATCCATCACCTGTATTTGTTGGGAGGAGAAGGGGTACTGAGGACACAGGTTAAGTGGCTTCCCCAATTAGTTAAATAAAAGGAATGAGGTCTCTCACTTGGAGCTCCTGGTCCTGTGTACATTGCTATTATTATAAGTGCCTTTCCCCCGTTATTCAAATGAAAGTTATAACACTGAAAAATTTGATGAGTAGAGAAAAGGAACAAAACAGTAATTCTGGTGTCTTCACTCACACACTGTTCTCCCTTTGCTCATGTTGTTTTTCTGTCTTGGATTCTCCTGTCTGGTTCTTTGCCTGGCTGACTACTATATGGTTGTAATCAATGTGCATACAGAATTTGTCTAGTGAAGTTTCAACCAGACCTCAATGTCTTTACTTACTGTTTGGCTTTAAAAATTAGCTGATTTCTAACTACTCAACTAATACACAGAGATTCATTGTAAAAACTTCAAATCGATGAAGTGAAAAGTTATGGTTCTTCTGCATGCTCTCCAGTCCTGTTCCCTGAACAGTTAACCTCTGGTTATCACTGTTAATGTTCGTTTGTTCAACTATTTGTTAATAGTTCAGAATGGATCTTTCTAGATCTTTTACTATATTTTTGTGTCTAGAGATAGGTAGATGCGTATAATTATAAGTATATATACATGTATCCTTCTACTTTAATTTTGCCTTTTTTTAAACGTAAGTTCTGCTTCTGTTCTACACTTACTCCTGTCACTTAATGAGTCTTGAAATCTTTCCATGTTGGCACTTTTGAATAGCTATACCTTATTCTTTTTAACAGCTGCATTATATTCCACAGTAAGAAAAGAAATGTAATTTAGCTCATCATTTTAACTAATGTTAAAATTTATAATTTATTAAAAACTCTTTATTGACAAATTTATAGGTTCCTTTCAGCTTTTCTTCATTTCAAACAATGCATGCTGAACATCCTTTTCCAGAAGTGTAATTGCTGGGTTATCCACATCAGAAATTGGCATATATACTGTCAACTTACTCTCCAAAAAAGATTCAGTTTTTAATTTTAAGCCTCAACTAGGTGTAATCTTCTTGATGGCTGAGGTTGCATACTCTCTGTCTCTAATGGTACCTCTTATGGACTTAGGCACGTAGTGTGTCTGCCTACCTTACAAGGTTTTGGGAAGGATCAAATGGAATTATGTTTATGAAAAATAGGACACCTGTGTTTGTATAATGTTTTCCAGTTTACAAAGCACTTTTCATTATCTTACTTAATCTTTGCCACAAACAAGAGAGATAGTCATTATTATCTCCATTTTACTGATGAAGGAAACTAAGGCCCAGGGAGGCTACAACTTTGCCGTGATTATAAAACTAAGAAGGAAGGAACAGTGGATCCCCAGACTACAGATTCTATACCTTTTTTTTTTTTTTTTTCAATTTTAAACCATTCTGCCAATGAAGGGAAATACTATGCAAATGTAAAATATTACTTTAGCATTTTATGTAGATAGATTTTTTTCCTTTCCTGATTTGAGATTTCATGTTTGGAATGGTTGTTAAAGCAGTGGGGTTGATAAGTGAATTCATGTTTGCAGCTGTTTATCAATCTCCAACTCTTTAAAATTTATCTGTAACCTTCCTCTCTCTCCTTTACCCAGGGCCCGGATATCACACTGTCTAAACTATACAAGTTAATTGAAGAATCTTGTCCTCAGCTGGCAAATTCTGTACAGATCAGGTAAACTTCATTTTCTTCTGTATATATGAGAAGATGTCAAAGTAGTTGAAAATTAGAAAAGAGTACCCAGTAATTCCTTAAAAAAGATATCTTTATTATTCTAGGTTGTTTTCCAAAGTACCTTTGTTTGTTTGTTTTTAAAAATAGAGAACATTAAATATACTGCTTCAAAATTTAGTGTTCTATGTGGGTCTACCTCATTATTTTTACTTGTTGCGGAGAATTCCATTTTTACTGGCTGATGTGTTGCTTTGAGAAATGTTTTGATCAAGAAAACGTCGTCAATGATACTTTTCAGAATATAGGAGTGACATTTTGGATTATCAAGTTTGTTTTATGTGCTGCCATTTTATGAATCTCTGAATTGCTTTTAAAATAATTTTAGATAATTGTGGAATGTGAAATGTGGCAAGATGTTCAAAGGGCCTTCCTAAAATACACATCTCAATTTTCTCATTTAGAATCAAACTGATGGCTGAAGGCGAACTGAAGGACATGGAACAATTTTTTGATGACCTTTCAGATTCTTTTTCTGGAACTGAACCAGAGGTTCACAAAACAAGTGTAGTAGGTATGAAGCTCTTCTGAGGAGAGCAGACAATGTTTTCATCAAAGTGAGCAGCTTTCTAAATCACATCTATCCTTACTCTGCTATATCTGAACAAACACAATGGGGATGTTGGACGTGTTTTAGTTTGTATTTATTGCCTTGCCAATTTGATCTATGTTTAAATAGTTGTCTTGTGGAGAAGCATCTTCTGTTCCGTCTACAATCGTCACAGTATTAGCGTGGTTCTTGAGGCTTTTAGGGCTTCTCAGCTCTTTCTCACAGTCCTCTGGATCACTTGTCTGCTTCGTACAGCTCTAAGTCAGGGTCACCAACTAAGCTTTTATGAAAAGAGGTAAGTAGGAGTATCTCATTGATACGGTTTATAAGACGAGGGCATACCTGAAATTTCTTGACGCTTTTCTGTTATCTTTACATCCATGCTCCATCCATATGGCTTTTTTCACATGATAGTTTTATGTTATTCAACATCCATTATTTATTGATCTCCTCTGTGCCAGGCTCTGGACTTACAAGATAAACACAGACCTTCGTCCTGTGGGGATTACACTCTGGTAGTGGGAGCCCAGACGATAAAAAGTAAACAAGATAATTTCAGATAGTTACAACAGCCATGAAAAAATAGATTGGATGGATAAAGAGTGGTTATGCAGGTGATAGGACTGAACCTTGAATAAAAAGAGGAAATCAGCTTTGTAAAGGATGGGGGAAGAGCATTCTAGATAGAGGGAACAGCAACCACAAGTGTCTCTTTTTGATTCTTTTGAAGAAAGAATTGTGACAAATAGTCATCAACTTTGTATAGCTTGGATCTCAGTTAATGCCTTCACCTTGTCTGTGTCATATCTTGTAGGTTTATTTCTGCGTCACATGATCTTGGCCTACAGTAAGCTTTCTTTCAGTCAAGTGTTTAAACTGTACACCGCCCTTCAACAGTACTTCCAAAATGGTGAGAAAAAGACAGTGGAGGATGCTGATATGGAACTGACCAGCAGAGAGGAGGGCGAAAGAAAAATGGAAAAAGAAGAGCTCGATGTATCTATAAGGTAACTTGAGTTTTTCTGACAGGGATCCCTTTCCTGCAAAATAGCATCAGTGTGGGCACAGTAAATCCTCATTGGTTCAGAGTTCGTGTGCTGGCCGTCATCGTTTTGCCCCTCCAGATCTGGGAAGTTGACTTATACAGGCTGCGTCAGTGGGCTCCTTGCCCTCTGACTTCTGATTGGGAGGCACTGGTGGGAAATCCAGAGGGCCAAAGAGAGTGAGGTCAGCGTGCTGATTCGCTGGCTCCCTTCCTTTGGGGTCATGTTGGGCTGACTGTAGGATCACAGCTTCTGTCAGGTGATCCTCTCTGTGCTCCTCTGAGGTATAGTAACTAGGAACATTTCCCAGGCCTGGTATGTTAAGGTGCCCCACTGTTACC